AGGTGGAGCAGTTTTGATTTTAAAGCTGCTGACACAACATTTTATCAGGTAGTATTGGCAGTATTGTAGAATTGGACAAATCACAGATGTAAAGAACACAGGAATAATTCTCCTGCTTGCCCAAACACAACCTGAGACGGCGGAGATATAATTCTTTGTTTTGTCACTTTTGCACAGATATTCAATGTGATCCTTACCATGACAGCAGAAGGTCATCATTTACACAGAAGCAGGTTACTAACTGAGTATTTGAATACAAGCTTTAGAAACAAAAACATGCTCTATTCAAAGCCTTCACATACATCAATACTTAAAGCTTGACACTCAGAACTGTAAACTCTGTGTGTCATTTACTTTGGTTCAATCGCACATGAAACGTTTTCTGCAGTGCATCAAAAGAGTTATCAAGCTCACTGGATAGTCCAAGTTTAGAGCCCGACCTCTCTTTCCCGTGGCACTTCTCACTGATACAAAAGAAAACCCAATGCCCTTTATATGACCTATTCCTCCAACCGTCTTAAATAAAATTGCTTTAGTTACCCAACAACCCAAGTCAGTCTATGTTCAAAAGCTTCCTTCAATCCAAAGCACAAAATAATTTTTAATATTTTACTTAATGAGGAATACTTTAACAATAAAAAATTTTTATAAATAAAATGTTAAATATTACAAATCGATAATAGCTCAAAATTGATTATTTTTAGACTGGTTAAATCCATGCCATAGTAATTCTGACTGTGGTATGCACGTTGTGGTTTTCAATATATGGATGACCAGAGCATTATCTGATGTGAGGCCTATCGTGACACAAAGAGTCCAGAAACACAAATTAGTTATCTTTTATCTGGAGACCGCTGTCCACATCCAGAAGGAATGCATTACAGTGGTCGGTGGTTAAAGCACAGGTCCAAAGATGTGCTTGTGCGATTGGCTAGCCTCTGGTGAGCAGGGTGGAGTAGGCACTGGTCTCTGTCAGGCTTGGTTGGTGAGTAGTAATAATGGATCCGCTTCCTCACATTAGGTATGCATGAAAAAGTGACAGTGTGTGACAGGTCACACCTCTCCTTTTACTCATGTTAATGAGCTACAGTTCCGCTCCTTTGTTTGAGGTGGATGTCACACCGGAGAGCGTGGGTATTTTTTCTCTTTTCTTTGTACTAAATAGCTTTTAGACACACTGTTGATGTATGCACACTAATCAAACTGGTAGATCATATCAAGTACTTTGTAAAGGAATTCGGTTCTCTTTTAAATGGCGAGTTTTTTAAAACACTTGTTCAGTAACAATGTGTGTTTTTTATACAACCTTACAATTTTGTTATTTTCTGCTACCAGATATTTTTTGATACACTTTGATGTACGCAACACTTAAAAAGGTATACTCATAGTACGTTGTAAATGGGGTTTCTGTTTAATGTGCAGGAACTTGTAGAACTGGGTAACATATTCATTAATTTGTAATGAATTTCAGTTTCTTTTTTGATTTCTCAACATACTATTTGCGTCACACAGTCTTCATATATATTTTTTTTTCTAGACAAACTATACTTTTGCTTTTTCCGCTAAAATCGACAAACTATTCTCATTGCTGAAATTCTAC